GAGTGAATGAGAGTGAATGAGAGTGAACCACTCATCTGATGAAACCTCACTCTTTCAGTGCTTCCATCTTCCTGGCTCCTTTGTCATACTATTCCCTACCCTTTGCAGCTCACCTGTGGTTGCCCTCAGCATCATGGGACAAAAGCAGCAGCCCTGGCTGGAAGCTATTTCCCTTTTTCCACCTCCCTGGAAGCTGATCTCCCAACCCACTACTCTCAGGGGCACTGTAGGTACAAAGAGAAATGGAGAGAGTGGCTCTTGAATTCACAGCACAGTGCGAACATGAAGGCATTGCTGATGAACTTTGGTGACATTTACAAGAGCCCAGCTCATCCATTAAAACATGGGATTATGCAAGCTGCTTAAGAAACCTCCACTGACTGTGTGGCTGCATGTGCTCCTGAATTCTTAGTGTTACAGTCTGGCTACTCATTAATCTGTTAGAATGGCTTTCACTTCACTGTGTCCAAGGACAATGTGCCAGTCATGCTGATGGTAGAACAAAACCAGTAAGTCAGAAGTGCTGCAACAGAATGTTTCTTACCCCATGCAACACCCTGCTTGTTTTGTGAGTGCCTGACCTGCTGGTTCTGTCAATATCCACAGGCACAGCCCCCATCACTGCTCACATGCCCACACACTTGCCCTCTCCTGGCACTACACGTTGGTGCAAGGGATTGGGTGGAAGTCAGCACTGCATGCCTTTCCTGGGGACTTCAAGCCTCATCTATTTTAAAATTATGCCCAGCATCCTGAAATCAAGATTTTTCCTTCATAAACAAGTAAAAAAGAAATAAAGTGCTGCATATAACCTGACAAGTAATTCCTAAGTATAGCACTCTCTCATGTTTACCTGTATGACTGTAATTAATTCAACAAGAGATTCTTCTCTTCCCTAGTCATGCTGGCTGCTCTATTTCTGATCCAGGCCAGGATGCCACTGGCCTTCTTGGCCACCAGAGCACGAGCTGATTCATGTTCAGCTGCTGTCAACCTGCACCCCAGGTCCTTTTCCTCCAGGCAGCTTTTCCTGTGCTGCTGCCTGGGGTTGTTGTTACTGAGAGTAGGGGTTGGCACTTGGCCTAGTTGAACCTCTGTAATGGTTTGGGCTGGTGCAGAGTTAGTTTTCTTCACTGTGGCTGGTTTGGGACTGAGTTTTGGATTTTTGCTCAACATAGGGCTGATAATGTAGGGATGTTTTTATTATTGCTAAGCATGGTTTACAGAGCAAGACCTTTCCTGTGTTTCATTTGGCCACACTGGTGAGGAAATTGGGGGTGCGTGGGAGGCTGGGAGGAGACACAGCCTGGACAGGTGACCCAAACTGACCAAAGGGCTGTAGCAGACCACATGACATCATGCTCAGTGTAAAAGTGGGGGAAGAAGGAGGAAGGCGTGGACATTTGGAGTGATGGCATTTGTCTTCCGAAGTCACCATTAACCATGATGGGGCCCTGCTCCTGTTAATGTGTTTATATAAATATTTTTTTTATTTTCTTTAATGGCAGTAGCCAGATTAAGTTCTAGTTGGGCATTGGCCCTTCTAATTTTCTCCCTGCAAAGACTCATGTCCTTGTAATCCTTCTGAGCTCTCAGCCCTTTCTTCCAAAGGCCATAAACTCTCCTTTTTTGTTTCAAGCCAAAGCTCTCCAGTCCTCTCAGGAGGTACAACCTAGTGATTTGCACTTCCTAAAATAACTTGTATCAGAATGAAGTATTTCTAGGCCACTCTATTCCTTGATATTTATCTTTCTCCTTTCCTCCCTTCTTTTGTACTTGATGATTTTAGAGTTCTTTTCCAACCATTCCCATCCCTTTTCCTTATTGGTTTATTTCTCATATCCCTTTATGTTTCCTTTCCCCTCAAAACTTTCCTTATATCTTTAGCTATATGCATATCCAGGCCATAACTTTTTTTTTTTTCCTCCAACTGAGAACACTGGATCAGACAGTGGATCCTGTCTGCAGCCTGTGCAGGGATAGGTGTCGTGGTCTTTAGGCAAACGGTGACAAGAAAAGAGACTGCACAGGGTTCCAGTGAAGCACGAGCAGACTTGCACAACCATGTTGCAGAAGTTGCTTTATTTGCCTTGCTCTACCTGATTCTCAAAGATAAATGAGGGTGAGGCTCCAGCTCAGGGTATACAGTGGCCCTGGCGTGCAGGGAAACCACAGTGCCACCCCTTTACAACTTGCTTGCACAGGCCCTCTGCTGAACCCTTTGTCAGAAAATGCCTAGCTGATCCCTAGACCTCTCCACTTCTAGGGCTGTTCACTGTAGAGAATTTTTCTCTATGTTTATCTACATGTTGTGCAATTAAGCCTCTTCTTTCTGGTGACCAGTGACATGACCCAAGGGGATGGCATGAAGTTGTGTTGGGGGTTTAAGTTGAATATTAGAAAAAGGTTTTTTGCCTATAGGGTGGTTGGGCACTTGAACAGGCTCCCCAAGGCAGTGGTCACAGCACCAGACTGACAGAATTCAGGAAGGGTTTGGGCAATGCTCTCAGGCACAGGGTGTGACTCTTGGGGCTGCCCTGTGCAGGGCCAGGAGTTGGACTTTGATGCAGGTCGCTTCCAGTAGAGTGTGACTCTTGGGGCTGCCCTGTGCAGGGCCAGGAGCTGGACTTTGATGCAGGTCGCTTCCAGGCAGGATAGCCTGTAATTCTAGGAAAATATGATGCATAATTCCTTTATTGTTTTTTTATCTCACTTTATCCAACGGAACGTGATGCAGTAATATCCCCTCTCCAGTGATTTATTAACCTCAGCAGATTCAGTGAAATGTGTGTCAGAGGCTGAAGACAAAGAACATCCTGGAGGCGTTCATGGCTGGTGAGCCTGCACACACAAGTTAGAAGCAGTGGGCAAAGGCCTGTTCTGGCAACCCCAGGTTATCTTCACTTGGGGACCGTAACTTGGGCAAATGTTACGAAACACTGACCATGCTCAGCAGATTGTAGCCATAGCTACAGTTTCTGCCTACAAGGCACTTGTAGGGGAAAGTGGTTCTTTGCTGCCACTTCACAGGCAGCACAGCTTGCTTCCCACTCCTTACTCCTGCCAGGGCTGAGAAACCTTGCACTGCTTGCTTGCCTCAAGCAGTGCATGATGTTGACTCCAGGTGAAGAGAGCTAGTGCTTTCTGAAACAGTGTTTTTGTAATGAAAAATTAGTTCTGCACTAAACCTGGCTCTATTTAACAGGAGACTATTTTAACCACAGCTCAAGTGACCTAGCTCTTTAGAGAAAAAAAAAAAGCTTTTAATAGCAGTTATACATCACAGATTTTACTGACAAATAATAAAGTGCATACTGGCTTTAGCTAAAACTTAGGTGTTTTTAAAAATAGGTTACTTCTTCCTTATCTACCATGCTGATTTTTAATCTTACCAAGGTACCTTTCTTTCTTTCAGACAGTGAACTTAGCTGTTAAGAAAAATAAACCTTCTGGAGGGTGTTTAAATTGAAAATCCAGCATTTCTTCCTACTGTGTGATAGCAATTTCCAAGTTACCCTCTTATGAGTAATTTCTGAAGAAGTTAGTAGCACAAAAGCTCTGGGACACACATGTTAGTAGAAGATAGGAAAAAAAGAACAACATTTTTGCAGTCACACCCTACACAGTATAGAAGCTTGACTGCTCCCTTTGTGTTTTTCCACCTGCACATTTGAGGATGTCCAAAAGATTAGGTATACAAAATACAAAACCTTGCAAGTTTTCATTATTATTGAAGCACAGAGATTGAGCAGAGCTAGCTGGCAGGGCAGGTTGTGCCCTTCAAAAAGTTTAGGGATCATATCTGAAGATTATACAAATGTGCATGACACGGCAATGGAGCTGAATTAAGCACATACAGGATGACGGCCAGGTTTGTGAGAACATGAACAAAGACATCCAGAAATAAACACCTTTCCAAACACACACAGGAAATAAATCAACTGCTCACAGGACAATGCCTTATTCATTTTAGTAAGCTGAAGAAATGCTAAAGGTGAAAGGTGCAAATTAGCTTGTGGGTTTAGAGCAAGTATTAGAAGAATTTGAAGGGGAAAATAATATCCAAGGAGAGTACTCAATTAAGCATGAACACCCCTTTTTAAAATAATGCCTTTTCTTCATTTTAGGTCTTATCATAGCCAAACAAGGCAAACGAGAAATTAAAAAGCACACCTTACAGTACTTGAAGTAAAAATGCAGCAAAAGGGAATAAATATGAATCAAACATTTGATTATTTGGCTTTAGGACTGTCAGTAGTAGACACTGTTGTTCCAGCTAACAAAGCCACCTTCTTGAAAGAGAGACAGTTAAGGTACACATTTCAAAGATGGGACAAACTTTATTCAGCTTTAGATTTGGAAGTCACAATGAAGTCCATCTCTGCTTTTCAAAATAACTTATGATAAGAAGAATGTGTGCTTACTGATAGCTTGTTTTAAAACCCTCCTGCAGAACAAATAGATACTTTACAATAATATGAACTGATACCAATAATGATACAGTGAACCTGTGATCTTCAGTGTGATCTACAGCACAGCCTGAGCAATAAAAAATTCTGTTTAAATCAGAGGAACACTGAACTCTTCAAACTTCCCTGACCTTATCCTCAATCTCTAAGGATTTTAGGAATGCCACATGCTGCACTCCTGCAGCTGGCAGTCACATTGCCCCAAGACTGCCCTGAGTGCATGTGCCTTGTCATGGGCACAGGATTTTGGAATAACCATCAGTGTGGATCCCCTTGGACAGCTACACCCCTGTGCAGTGTGCCAGTGTGCACTGCAAAACCCACCATCGTTGTCAACTCTGTGACCAGAAGCCTCTGAGATGGGGCAGTTCAGAGAGGCTCTTTTCTACTCAGATGCTCTTCTGCACAGTCGTGTCTCAAATTAAACACTACTGCTCTACAAGCAAACATAGGGTCAGTGAGCATATGGGACATGTGGAAGCCAAAGCAAAGGCGGATTGACCTGAATCCAGGGAATGGAGGCTCTATAAGCAAACATAGGGTCAGTGAGCATATGGGACATGTGGAAGCCCTGAATCCAGGGAATGGACAAGAAGGGGGAAAGTACAGTAACATGTAGCAGTACAGTGTTTGGGAAATTGTCACAACATGGATGCAGATAAACACTGCTGAGGTTCCTGACTTCAGAAATCTGAACCAAGACTTGAGGCTTGGTGGGAAGGGAACAAAACAACAGGATTACTTATGGCATCTTGCTGTGACCTCCCACTGCATGCAACTAAAAGCAAGTTTTCCCATTTCAGTGAGAAGGTTTTACTTTCTGCCATATCCCCTTCCTATTTTCTGTTTCTTTCTTTTCAGATTCCTTGAGCCATACCTTCTTGCGTTCTTAATGCTTTCCTACACAGGTTTAAAGATCTCTGGATGTAGTCTGCTGCCCAGCATTGCTGAGCAATAGTTCTGGCAGTACCTGAAACTTTACAAAGCTTAGTGATGAAAGTCAGAGCTTTCTTAAGCTCAGCAAGGACGCCTGGTGGTGAAACAGGGATCCTGTTATTCTAGAGCTTCTGTGCAGATTGTTTTTTAATGTTCTGTTCTTTAACATCATGGCCTGGGAACAAATCACATCGGAGGTCTCTAAGTCTTGGCTAGACAAGCAGGTCAGAGCTGATCTCCCCTGAGGACAGCAGGGTGAAGCAGAGAACTTCTCAGTGTGTTTTCCCACAGTTTCATTAACTTCATACAGCTAAAGCTGGTTCAAAGAAAGTTCTTTCTGTAAGAAGTGCCTAAAGCACTCTATGTAAATATTGATTACTGTTATCAGAAACAAATTCCTTGTCATTTCTTATTATAAAACAGATTTATCTCTGCTTCAGGTGTAATGCATTAGTAGGCCATGCCTGAAATATGCAAGTGACCATCTTGAAAATATTGAGAGCAGTCAGGTCTGTAGATTGAAAATGAGGAATAAATGTGCTTTCTTAAGTAGCATGCCACAAGCTAGAACACCTGAGTGTCAAACAAGGCTATAACTTGTACACAATATGTAAACCCAAAATGAAAAACAATTAAAAGTCCTCATCCTCACAGTGAAGAATTTCTTCCTAATATCTAACCTAAACCCACCCTCTGTCAGTTAAAAGCCCCTCTCCAGCTTTCCTGTCGGCCCCCTTTAGGTACTGGAAGGTGCTGTAAGGTCTCCCCAGAGCCTTTTCTTCTCCTGGGCTGAGCAGCCCCAGCTCTCCCAGCCTGCCTGCAGGAGAAGTGCTCCAGCACTCTGAGCACCTTCATGGCCTCCTCTGGACTTGCTCAAACAGGTCCATGGGCTTCATATGTCGTGAGCCCCAGCTCTGGCCACAGCAGCAGGAGGATCACCTCCCTTGAGCTGCTGGCCACACTTCTTTATGATGGGGGACAGGAAGACCCCAGTGTGTGGGTCAGACAAGCAACATGGATGAACAGGCAGCAGCCACTGAGCTGTTGTGACAGCCTTAGAATAGCAACACACCCCAGACCATGTTTTCCTTCTATTTGTCCATAGACAGGTAAGCTTCAGATTTACACAGCTGGATTTAGAAACACCTGTATGTGTGTGGGTGTGTGTATCCAATTTCACTGGTAAAGTTGTAAAGCTGTGTTTTAAGTTGCACAACAGTTCTGTAAGATGCTTTGGAACCCTTTCAGCATGTCTCTAAAAGTCCCCAGTTTGTCTGAACCGTCTGCTCCTATACTCTCAAGCCTGAGTAAATGAGGCCCAGAAATGAAATGGTCTTAAGGGAACCTTGGACAGACTGAGGAGTCTTAGATCAGGTTTAATAGGTGCTACATGCAGTAACATGAGGTTCTCTCAGCTGTAAAGGTGTAATTCCTTGAAATTTTACACATTTCAGTTAGAGAATGAGTGTAATACATGCTGGGTACACTTACGCTGCCTTTTCTGTTACAGAAATAAAACCCACAATGCTTTTATGAAAAGGCTGATCTAGTTTTTGCAACAAAGCAATCACAGTTTTGTAAAGCCTAAGAAAAGCCCCATGGAACTTCAGCAACAAACCACAATCCATCCTTTTAACAGAAGAAACTTTTCTCTTGGCCTTTTGGAAAGTGTAGAGAGAGGTGCACTAAGTGTGTCAGTGATAACCAGTTGGGTGCCAAGCCTTTACAGACCATAGGGACCCACTTGCAGTCTCCACTTGAAAGCAGTAACAACGAAGGGAACAAGAAAAATGGGCACAAGGCAAATCATACCTGAATCAGCCCTCTGACTGCAGCTCAGCAGAGAGGCACACTTAGGATGCCATGACCTCAAGCTCTTCAGGCATGAGAAACCTGTGTGAGAGCTGCACTTATTCAGGCACTGCAGCTACCTGGCTACTCCCTGGAGAAAAAGGGATAGGCAGGCTCTCAGGGCTGAAGCAAAGCCTCAATTCCAAGATGTCCACTTCACTACTCTGCCACAGCACTGAAGTCAGTTGATGAATCAGAATCAGAACATCCAGCCAAGACTAAGATTATGACTTTTTTTTTTAAAGGAAAAATATTTGACAGACAATACAATACATACAGGATCCTGTGATTACACAGTAATACTGAATCTGAGTGACCTGTAAGGAAGAGTTCCTCTCTCCTGGTGTTGTTCTGAGGCTGTGTGACAAATTTTGCTGAGAATACAAAGAAATAATCAAAAGAGATTGAGTCATCTCAATGTGCACCATGTGCCCACCAAGGCACGTGATTTGCACCTGTGCTAACACCTACCCCTCTCAAGCTCAAGTATAAAGCACTGGCTTAACCCTACATTCATACTTTACCTACTGACCCCAGCTAACTAAACACAATATATAAATCAGGCAGTTCAGTTGCTCGTGATTGTCTGTTGAGATGCTCAGGAAAATCAGAATTTTTGTTTTGAGTGTTCATGCACACTTTGCAGCAGGCACTAGTGGTACAGGTTTTGGTACCAAAGGAGCACTTGTCATTCATTGCTTTGAAGAAAACTTTTAAACAGAAATGGAGACAAGACTGCATACATTAAAATATTAACTGCTAATGTTCTTGGCATTTACACCCAACTTGATATGTATAAAAAATAACATAAAAAAAATTAAATTAAACAGCTTCCCTGGGAAAAAATAAATGCTGCATTAATTTCTTCTTTTCCCCCCCTCTTTTTAAAAAGCTATTATATTGAAGTTCTAAAAGGGTAAAAACCTGCATTTAACTTAACCCTTCATGCACAGAAACAGCTCTGGGACTACCAAGCACCGAGACAATTCAGCATTACAAGGGCAGCAGGTGGTCTGTGAAGTAAAACTACTTCATGTCCCAGTTTTATTCCATGAACTGCATTTCTTGTCCTTCCCATCATCCAATTCTGAAGCCTAGTTGCTGTCCGAGTCATTGTCTTCATCTTCTTTTCCAGACAGAGCATGTTTGGATGAATCATTGGCGTCTCCCAAAGGAACAGCCCCTTTCCTCTGTGGCAGGACACTGAAAAAGGCCTCCTTCCAGTCTCTCTTCTCCAGGTATGCAAGGATGATCTCAAACACTGCAACATCAGAAAAGCCCATCAGGTCTTTTACAGGGAGGTAAGTGAATTGCTGATAGCAACACACCCCCAAATCCATCTTTACAGAGGTTTATGTGCATTCTCTTGTGGCATCTTCAGAGCAGAGCTGATGAAAAGCAGGCAGGAACAGACACTGCAGTTCTGCCACTACTGCAGCCTGAAGCCAAGCACACCCCGAGTCTCCAGCTGCATGACAGCATTTCTCTCAGGGACTGAGACAAATACTTCAGTCTCACCAGTGCCTTCTGTACAGGCACTGATGCTTTCACATGTTTGACAGGAATCCTGCTGTGAATGCACTTTAATAAAGGTTTTGACCCCTGCTATAATTAGCTCTTCCTTTCTATATAAAGCAACAGTGAAAGATCCAATTTTAGAAACATGTAACATCTTACAAATACATAAGGTTTGATAATTTTTAAGTCCATTGCCATACTATATTTTCCTCCATGCTTAAATAATCTTTATTATCATGCAAATGCCAGCCTCATTAATATGGCACTTTCAGAAAATAAAGTTATCATTGAGCAATGTGTTACATAAAAAAATAAACTTGAAATAAAGCAAGGTAAGATAAGCTAAAGAATGTGCAGTGGGGCACAATAAAGACTTTGAAACCATGTCAAAAAATTCCATGAAGGTCTGAGTAGGCTCCATTTTCCATGTATTTTTGTATAACACTGAAAGACAATCTAATAATAAAGCTGAAAGTTTTAAAGGAGCAGGATTCAAGGCTTGGTTAAGCAATTGAATACTTCAATCAGAACCAGGAAATCAGGTAAAAATACAGTTATGAAAGTTCAGTAGTTGGAGTACTGCTGATACCAACTGAGGAAAGTCTACAGGTACTGAGGCAGTTACTGCTGAACGAAGCTGTTGAAAGAGGTGAAAACATCACAAACATTCATCCTCCCTTGGCATAAAATGTGTACCCTACAATCAAATACAAAGTTGGATAGTTTCCAACATTTCACTCACTTATACAGTAAACCTGGAAACAAGACCAGGATGGTAAGAAAGCCACAAGTAATCCTCAGACAAGCCACCAGGATACAATGTGCACTTCTAAATGGCTAAGACACCGTCATTTACATTTAACCATATCTATAATATTTAACGGTCAGGACAATTAGTGTATTCTGAAGGCAACTAAATTCAACAAATATCAACATAATAAAACAAGGTTTAGGCATCTGCACTACAGTGCAGAGGGTTTGAACAGTGACTATTACAGGTATATTTTAAAATAATGTAATTATTTTATGATTTAGAACTTACCATGATTGACAGCTAACACTTTCCGACTGTTCATTTTGACAAAGTTTCCAAGTGGGAGCTGTGCATGACCAATTCCCTGCTCTACAGCTTTTCTGTAAGTAATTCCCTGGAGAAAAGAGACCAAAACAAGTGGATTGAGAATTACTGTTTCAGATCGGCCCATACAGATTCACTACAAGTATCATTTTCTGGCAAGAGTTTTGCCTGGGCTGCCACGATGTTGCTTTAGAAGTTGATTACAAAAAGAAACTTAACCCGATTGGACAGCACCTTCCTCAAGGGCTACTACCTCTGGAAAACTCACTACTTTCTATATATGTCACGCTGTGACCTGTGGTCAAAAGGATTGTAAATGAAACCTGTTCATGCAGCTGCAGCTCTAGAACCATCAGCTGTTGCCTGTTATAAAGGTGAGCTTATGTTAAAGTACAAAGTTATTCAGGTTGTAGTCACTTGGTATTTTTTCAGAGGAAGAGTGAAGGATAAGAAAACTCTGGAACACAAGTCACTGCTGCCACTACAAGTGTTTTTCACATTTCTTCAACATTGTTTGAATTCTTTTTTGAAGAAGACTTCTCATTGTCAATTATGTTCGTTTACACATGAACAGCAATAATGCCAAATAAGGTGCCAAAAAAAAAGCTGCAAAGAAACAGACCCACAGTTTACCTTGTGGTGATTGTGATCCACCAGTCCTCCAATCACATAGGCTTTCTTCTCATCAAGCTCTCTGAGAACATCTGGGGAATCTGAGGTAAGATATACTAGGTCTTCTTTCTTCATTAGCTCACTATAGTGCTCTGTTCTAATTTGGATATCCTCAAAAAAAGGTAGTTAAAAGAAGTTACATTCAACTGATGAATTGCTAGCCAAGCTTTAAAGAACCAAGATGGAACTGGCAAAATAAATCCAACAGTATGTGGTCATTCCACATTCCTCCTTCATGTTCAAATACATAGCACAGTGCAGATTGATTTTCTGTGAAAACAATCCAGTCCCTAGAGCACTGACTTGTAAAAATAAGCAAGAAATTTTCTGAAACCCCAAAAGAATTTTACAAATCCTTAAGTTCTTATGATTCCCTTCAAACGTTGCCACATTTCTCCTATGGATTTAAGTAATTTTCAAGTCCATTAAGAAAAGTGAACCCAGAAGCAAAGGCTTAGCTAACATTAATTGTTCAGTAAGAGAAATTTATGCTAAGCTCTCAAGAAGCAGCTATTGCACAAGAACTGCTGGAAACAGGACTGCTTTTATTTGTTCTAAGTGCTCTTCCTCTGAAGTTGTTGGAATAGTGGCTTAACAGTGAGACACAAGGAAAACCAACCTGAGCTTAACCATAAGAGAAGCTACTTCTCTCCAGAACACTTCAGTGCTGAGAAGCAATGTGATGAAAGTGGAAGTGCACACCAGAGAATCACATCCCAACTGGTAAGTCTTATCTTGGACAGGGATAAAAGAGCACTGTCAAGACAGACAACTGCTGGAACTGCCTAAATCAAGGAGTCCTGCTTAATCAAGAATGGAATTTGTTCAATAAAAACAAGTGAAAATGGATCTGTTTGTAGTTTTTCAAGCAAAATTCAAATCTAGATTCAAGAGAAGCAGTCTTTGGCTTATTAAAGTTAAATCAATTAAAAGGACAAAAAGCTACATTTTTTCAAATATACTATTGCTCACATGTAGTACAAAAGCCCATGTAGAAAAAAATTGTGTTCTTCACAACTAACAATATAGTTAATTATAATCAAGATTTTAACTTTTTACAGAAATACTCAATTATTCACCTTCCAATTCACCCATCCTTTGTCATTTTCGTTCATGTTGGTCTTCAACTGTCCCCCATGGCTGGTCAAGTAAAACTTCAAACAGAACAAACAAGAGGTACAAAATACAGAAATGTCAATTTACCACAATCTGTTTCCTCTCTTTCTACTCTTAACTACTAGCTAGAACACTTAATATTTTTAGATGGAAGCAGTACTAGGACCATATTCATATAGATAGTGATACGTTTAAAAGACAAATTCCGACTTAGAGTGACTTTTTTAAAAATCTGCCACAGCTATAGCCAAGAGTATCAACAGCCTCTCACTGGCACACCTGGATCTTTTCATCTGCATGCACAAACTGTTCCATATATAGGAGTGTCTTTATAACATGTGGGTGTTACAACAGCAGTAATTTTCTTATGAAAGAGGCAGCTTAAATATTTTATTTTCCTGCTACAGTTCTCATGTTTGGTACTTGGCAACAGTCAGTGTTCAGTTTGTTCAAACTTACCTGCACAGGATGAAATGCTTTGCGGTTTTCTGCGTAACATCTCTGAATCTGCTTGTGAAGCTTCTTAACATCCTGTACACAACACAGTTTGTTTTTATTTAGTCCTTCATACAGACCATCACAAAATGCTTTATCATGAGCCAGTCAGAAGCTAAAGAGAGAAAAAGGAAGCTTTTAACTGGCTAAAGTGACTACTCAGAGAGTATGGGCAGAGAAAAAACACCCATTGTGAAGGGATTTTGCTGACAAGGAGACACACACCTCTTCCACACAGGTGTGCTTAGACACCTCTATGCATGTGCATGATTTACATTATTCTAGGGAAAAAAAATTACAGGGATTCAATTAACATACAAAATTAATCTGAGGAATCAAGCAGGTTTATCATTGTGACAACACTTGGTCTGAACCCATGGGAAAATCCTGACAACATACAATCTATATTTGAGAAAATTAAATATACCTAGTTAATCTGGAGTTCCTTTTACCTTTAACACCATCAGGTCATCAAAGCTGCAGTCCACGATGAGGCGAAGTGTGCTAGGAACAACTTCCCTGCGCATGCACTTTCTGGCATTCCCCTCACTACTGGAATCCAATTTTGACTGACGTTCTAGTTTTCTCTTCTGGCGTTTTTCTTTTCGTTTCTGCCTAAGTAAACAAACAAATCAATCCTCAAAAAGTGCTGCCAAGTCTGCTGAGGTACTGTGTTATGCACACAAATGCAGACTTCTGGGACCAAAGCAGTTGTCCTGTGACTGTGATAGTTTAAACTCAGCCTGTTGCCTGCATTTGTGCCACACTGAGACCAGCACAAAAAAGCCCCCACCTTTGTGAAGTTATGTAAATACCTACAAAGACAGACATCTGACACAAATTCAATTTACTCAACTAACTCAATACTGGGAGTCTCATGGATTTAAAGGTGCTCTAAGTCTCCTAACAGAACTAGCCAAAAAGTGGTTAGTTCCCACATGAGCAGCAATCACAGCATCAGGATCAGAATGAGGAAGACAATTCACATCCTGTTTCACTGAACAGTTTTTCAAAAAGCTTCTGAAGAAATTGTTCCATCCTCCTGTCCTCCTGATAGGAGCAGGCAGTTGGGAGATCAAATTTCAGAGACAGCAACAACCACTCTCTTGGGAAGTAGCACCTGGCAGTCAGTGGGATAAGAATAAACCACCATCAGTGCATTTGCAGATACACTTTCTCTCAACACAACAAAACAGAAGCTCCATATAAGTCAGTGTCAGTTGTAGCACAGCACTTCATGTGTCAAATGTAGCTGCTTTTATTCAGTGTCTTTGTAGGAATCTCAAGTCTGACAGCATCAGGAAAAGAGGAACAAGGCCACAAGTTCTGTCTCCCTCCTGACAAATGAACAACATGCACGTTTGAATCCCTCCTAACATCCTCCTGAAGCCGAGGAACAATTCCAGCATGAGGAGGGGATGCTTACCTCTACAGCCTCCTCAAGTGCAGACGAAGTAGCCTGGGGCTACTGCTTTAAACCTGGTGTGGGAGAAAACTGGTTCAACTGCCTTGATTTGATGAAGCAATTCACAAGCACATTCTGCTGGCACGTCGTTATTATTAGCACTAAATATTACATGGGAACCATGGGAAGCTGCTTTGCAAACCATACCTCCGTAGATCTTTCTGTTCTTCCCACTGCTTCTGCTTCAACAGCTTCTTCCTTTGCCTCTTGGACATGGACTCAAGGCATTCTTCCTTGCCTGGGCCTGCCTCCAGTCTCTCTACTGGATTGTCAATTGACTTTGCCTTTCCTTCCACATCAGTAGCTTCAGGGAGTGGGGTATTTTCCATTGGCACCTCTGCACTGTCTGTGGGTCACTCAGATGACATTAGCTTTTGGCTGGATTTTCTGACGTGTTTCTCAACACATGCTGGATATTTCATTAAAATCAAGTCTTCTGCTCACCAATTCTCTAGGAAACAAAGTGATATGAGTGTCATTAACAAGATGCTCAACTAGAACAAACACCACTCAACACCTACTATAAGTCTGAATAAAAAATAAGAGAAGGCCTTTTTTGTTTGTTTAAAGCCTCTGCAAATAGTAACATAAAACATTCTAGAAAGGTTATAACCTGTATTCTGAGAGTCTAAAATTCTGCTGGCTAGATCTGCAGGTAGTGAATAGTTTCTGATTAAAAACTTTGCAAAAGAACAACAGCATAAAATTAGAGAATCAGAGACAATCAAATGTAATAGAAAAAAAAAAGCACTAGCAGTATACACACTAGTGTACACAAATACAAAAAATTCAAGATGTATCTTGCAATAGAGCTACAGCAGCATATTACAGAAATGTAATTTTAAAGTGACTAAAGCCATTTGGGGAGAAAAAAAAGCAGTGTGAACGAGCTGTACTCCTTCAAAATTTATTTTTATTTCTCCTGAAAACAGAAGGCACTGGACAGTAACAGACACTGGCCACTGTCAGTAGACAAACACAGCAAGTAAAAGGATGAACAATTGTTATTCAGCAAAACGCTCTCGGTTCAAACCAAGTACAATTATAACCACTCCTTTCCAATGGCAATTTTCTGCACTAGCAGCTCCTCTGTGCTCGACACCCACACAATTCCCCAAGGACAACTTCACGGAGAGCACTGCATCTCCAACAGGCAGGAAACAGCAACCCGCGGCTTCCTGCAGCGGCACCAGAGACAGGAACCTCACGGCACAGCAGAAACCCAGCGCGGGTTTTGCTGCCACATCCCGGTTTCCCTGTCTGAGGGCGTTCACACACCGAGCCCGGCGTGCGCGTATACACACACACACATATATTGTATATATATATATATATGTACACACGCACGCACACGTGTATCTGCACAGGGACACGCCGTACGGCCCTCATGACTGCCGAGGGCCGGCGGCAGCTCCCGCAGGGCCGTGTCCCGCCGGCGGCAGTGCCGGGCGCGGAGCGGGCCCCGCTGAGGGCCCCTGGGGGCCGCCATGTTCCCCCCCGCCCCCCAGGGGCCGCAACGTACCCGCGAGCCGCCCCGCGCGGGCGGCGGCGTGAGGCCGCCGCGCAGGGCGCCCCCCAGCGGCGGGGGGTGTGAGGGCGCGCGGCAGCCCCTCCGCCCCCGGCCGTGGCTGTGGGGGCTGCGCGGGGGTAAAGGGCAGCGAAAAGGAAGAGAAAAGCTTATTTTTATCTGGTGGTTCGATGGCCCCGCTGAGTTCAGGCAGGGGCCAGAGAAGTATTTTTGGCTGGTGGCATTCCTCAGGGCAGAGCTGTCGCTGCAGAGGTCCCGGCCGTGCCGTGCTCCCTCCGCCCCCGCGGGAGCGGGACGTGCCTTCGCGCTTCCTATTTTTAAAGGCCACCGACAATTAGCTTTTTGCACTCCGGTGTCAGTGCCCAGCGAAGGGCAGCGTTCTTTCGCCGCCAGATAACTTCACGAAAGAACGCTGCCCTGTTACAGGAGTCGGTTCTGGAGACTGGGATGGTGTTCTATGGGAACAATGTATTTTGGGCAGCCTGAGTATGTGGATGTCTGTTTGCCCCTGGTTAACGAGGCACACAAAGTTAGCAAACACACGAGCGTGCGCTACCATAATCCCCTTTTCGTGTGCACCAGTGTTTATCTCAGGTTTCACGGGTGCCAGATATACACACTCGTACAGTTTTAGTGCTGGTTTCAGGTTCGCCGCAGCTGTGTTGCACCCACAGAACTGTGCGGTGTCACTATAGTGAGGCACTGACCTTTCAACTGCTAATGGAATTCAATATTTGCTGTAGTATTTGATCTAATTTGTGATTCCTATTCAGTGCATTACTTTAAAAATAGCTAGATTTGCATTTGCTGGGGTCTATTTAAAACCTCACTCACGTTACTATTAATATCTAGCTTGACAGGCCAGCATCATAAAAGCCCAAATGCTCCAGTCACCCTGTGGAGAATCCTTTGGTGTTTTTTGGTCACTGAAACGCAGCAGACGAGTTACTGATAGAAGCCCTTTTTTTGAAAAAAGCAAAAGACATCTAACAAAGTCATGTAATACTCAGTTGTGCTTTTTCCTAGAATGAAGAAACTGCTTACGCAGTTTGTTTTTCTTACAGTGCCCTCTGCAAAGCGTCAGTACTGCTCATCCAGCCCCCCGTGTCCTCAGACACCAACAGAGCGTAATGCAATGTTTTCTGAAGTCTGCCAAGTGCCAAGTGGTGACAAAGTGAAATGAAGAACTGAGCGGTTGCAAATATTGAGAAAGAGCTGTCTGTCTAAATTCCATTATTTTTATAGGGCCTTAACGTGATCTTTTCAAGATGCTGATCCCAATGGTGAGTCACCCTCCCCCCCAGCAACAGAAAGAACTAAATATTCCACAGCTTAAAGCTGCAGCTCGAGAGGCAGACTATGGAGGAGAAAACAGATACTCAGGGCAGGCTCAGGTGTGGACAGTGACATTGCTCCCTGTGGGCTGGGTCTGACTGCAGCACTCTTGAGGAAGGCTTAGGGTGCAAAATGGCTTAGGTAGGTATCTCTGACGCTCTGCCTCCTGTGACAAAACAGGGGGTCTTATTCACCCAAAGCCTGGGAGCTGGGGGCACACGGACAGCAGCTGAAGGGCAGAGATGCGCTGGGGTGCTTTGGTGCTCGCACCTGAAGGTTTGAGCTGAAAAGCAAGATCTTTGTGCTCTGCTTGGGAAGAGAAGGCAGAAAGAAACATTTTGTTGACCTGAGAACATGGGAGGAAATCTCATTAGTTTTATTAGGCTGTATAAAGATATGAGCCCTATAGTTTGGACTCTGGAAAATGTGGAGCAGCAGGAATACTTTGACCCCAGTCCGTATGCCAGCATGGCGTGAAGCATCCATGAGGGGCCGAGCCCACGGCCTGTACGTGGTGTGGACTTTGGTGGGCACAGCGCCGTTTTCACCCGTGTAATCTAACTGGAAGGAAGTCACTGCTGATTAACTCTGGCCATATCTGAGGTGAGGCTCAGGCCTCCTGTCTCTGAGATGTCTGAAGAGCACCCCAGCTCTGTGTTGTAGGTATGCCTGTGGGTGTATAAATGTGTGTGCACGTGGAAATGTACGTACAGAATTTCTCTACGTGGCAGTTACGTCCTTAGCTCTGTAATTGGCACAGCTACAGTGGTGTCCAAAGAGAGATGTGGATTTACATCAGTAGGGATCTGGCCAGGGATATTCTAACAGAGGCCTTTTTAAAAAATATTTCATTTGAAAGAAGAAATAAATTTCTTGTGTCTCAAGAGCACAGAAAGAGGACAATTGCTTTTCTTCAGATTTTAGACCAACATCATCTCCCCCTTCTGAGTAAAATGTCAATGCTGCTTTTCTAAAGTAGGATCCATATCTCTGCTCTTTCTCTAGATGGAGTTGGTTTTGCACCAGATAATGTCCTTATTTTTTTCAAAACAGCACAGAAAGCCTGGCAAGCTCCTTGGTTACTAAATGCAGCAAAAGGAGTCCTCTGCCTCAGTCCCTTGAATTCGGGAGCATGTCACAACCTGTGCTGAGAAAGCAGCATAACCAACCATAAATGGGGAAGAAGCAATAGCAGACCCCTGGGGTTTCCTAATCTCCTCCCTCCCACGTGTGCACACACAAACAAAATACAGGAAGAGGCCCAGGGGGAACTTCCACAAGGTGCAGATGAGCATGGGGGAGAAGCAGTGGCATGGACCTGTTGTTTCCCACTGCTGGGCAATGATTGACATCCACAGTGTTTGCTCAACTTCTCTTTACCACAAAAAAAACCCAGAGGAGGCATTTATACCACTCAAGGTGAAGGCTGCTCTCACTTTACCATACCTTGCAGAGGATGGGGCTCTCTGGGAGCATGTAATTGCAGCCTGGGCTGGCCCCTGCTGGGTTGGGGTGTTCGTAGATCACAGTCAAATGAGAGCAACCTGTGGAAGTGAAGTGGAGGACTGTGCTGATGGCTCACTTGTGTTTCCTTTACTGGCAGAGCAGATCCTGCCTCCTCACAGAGCTGGGAGGGCTTTGTGTGCTGGGGGAGAGGCAGGCAGCCTCGCAGGCTGTGTGCCAGGGCGTGCCAAGAAACACGGGGGGTTGGCCTGCTGCCCCACTGACACCTGAGGGACAGCTGGAGGACATCCTTTAACCAGCCCTGTGGCCATGAGGTTAGTGTGAGAGGGCCTGGGATTTACTGTCACAGAAAAAGGGAAGCATGTGACTTAGTCAGCCAGGGCCTTTCCAAGGAGGGTGGTGAAGTAAGCACAAGGAAAGGGAGAAGGGCTTGGTTTGCCCTGCTCCCAGACCTTGCCAAGCAGGTACCCTTCACAGAGATGGGACAAAATGTCTTGTTTTATCTTTCAGGCTCTAACCTCTGCCACTGCAGTGATGTAAGATGGGGGCTGGGGATGCTGAAAGAAAGAACACTGGTTTAGTATGGTACAATGTAGCAGGCACTGACATCACATCTGAGTCTGTAATGAAGTAGGATCAGATTTTGGGATGGCACTGATAAATCCCATGCACTTCTGCTTCCAGGAACACCCTTAAAAAACTTCTGCTCCTGTGGTTGCTCAGAGATGATGACAGATGATGCAAGACAGTGGAAACAGTGGTCAGGATCTGGCCCCTGCAGAAACAGACCTGATGGTCCTTTTGTTCAGAGAGAGGAGTGGTGGCAGGACCTCCTGGTTCTTCCAGCACTGGAGGTAGGCTCTGCTGCTCAGAAATGGGGCTGTGTGGGCTCAGTATTCAAAAATGAAAGCCGAGGTGATCGATAAAATGGGGCAGAAGCTGCCAGTTACCTTAGTTCTTAATAATTAACTGGAAGTCCTTTAATGAACTTAGTACCTGAGTGTGGAATTTGGAATCTGACCTTTACTACATCTAGATAAACAGTGTGGCCAAGCCTGTGGCTCTCTCTGCAAGCTCCACTCTCAGCTCACTTCTTGGAGGTTGTTGCACTTCATGCTGCAGTCAGGAGCTCGGCAGAGTCCAGCATGATTCTTCTTACCGTGCTGTTCCTTTGCATCATTTCCACCTACTCAGCCTCTGTGAAAGGTAGGTCTGTAGTGGGCTTGGTTCAGCTTCTACCTCGGTAGAGGCAAAACCAGTGTGTGTATACAGATCTCTGTTTTGCCTCAAAAATTATCAGCTTTACTCAGACACGCAAGATGCATTTACTAGCTAGGTTTAAGTGCTTGTGGCATTTGTCTCAGCAGAGGTGATGGAGGAGATGATGTTTTCAAGTGCGCAGGGCCAGTGGTGTGACCAGGAGATCAGAGATCTTGAACTTGCTTAATCAGGACATACTGTGGGGGCACTGACTTCAAAGAGACTTTTCACACGCTCAGGAGTTAAACACATGGAGTGCTCTGTGGAGCAGAGCCAGGAAGTGCTCAGGGCTGTCCAGGTTTCAGCTTCTGAGCAGTTGACTCAGCTACCACTGAAGTCAGTAAGAAGCATCCTGTTACTTTCATGAGAACGTTGCTCTGTAGTAAGTCTTGAAAATATGGATGTCTGCAGAAACCCTGTGAGCAGAGCTTTACACAGGTGTCCTGACAAAGTCAAGGCTATGAAATCTTGGAGACTGTCTGCTTCAGCAGTGCCAATGTGTGAAGCAAGGAAAAGTGTCTATAGTAGTGACTCTTCATGTACAACTTCACATTACATTTAGAGGAGCAGCAACCTTATAACATAAGCTGAGTTTTTAGTTTAATGAGGATGTCTTCATCATGAGGGGAAGCAGGGGGAGCATGCCATCCTGGGTTCAGCTGTTAAAAAGGCTGTAGAGATGCTCTCATGGGTGCCACCTCCTGCTTCCTGCAGGGAATCCAGGACACTGTGTAAGCACAGAGCAGCAATCTTCCTTCTCTCATGCCTCTATACACCCTCATGACAGGAGTTACAAAGGAGAGAAATTTGCAAGCAGTGCCTTTACCTGTGAGTTTATTTCATGACACTGCCACATTCAATTTATGGCTAGGTACCAATGTGCCACATTTCTGGTGTCTGATCTTCCCAGC